GGAATTGGGCCACCCCCCCGGTAGACAAGCAAATAGGCAACGCAACAATGTATTGCGTTCAAGGATAGAGATGATGTCCTGCGAACGACGCTGATAGGATAGCGATTAGATGTTTATTTACTTGGACATGCTCTCTATCGCTTGAGCCACAATGTATCAATCGATAGTGACTATTGATGTTGACTCGGTCTCTTTCTATGAAATAATGATATCTAGTTAGAGCTATCAAGTCCAATTAATTAGTACATTAAACAAAAAATGTGTCTGTCATTCATCTGTACATGCTTGTTGATGTTATTTTGAGGAATTGGTGATGCTGTAAGAATTGCCAGCCACATTGTCTGTTCATGAAGCATAACAGTGCTGCCAATATAAACATAGAGATAATGCGGGCGTGCTTTTCAATAAGTAGCTTCCTAGTTGTATAATTATTTACTGTGTATATGAAAGAGCGATCTCGTTGGCGTTTAATTTCAGATATTTAAAATACTGCGCTATTCTTACGTAAATAAAGCAACTTTTACTAACGGTACACAGAAGGTTGATATTGTAAGGCCTGCAGCGGTATCTATACCTTTTTATATTTGCAGTGGCTGCCAACACAATATGTGTTTTCTTGAAGATGCGATTAGTAGCTTCATAAGAAATGCGAGGCCTCATTAATAACAGGTATGTTAGCCTTAGTGCTATCGCTGTTCTCCATTGAGGCTTTCTTATAAGGCAAAAAAAAAAAAAAATAGAGTAGGGTAGGTAGGCTCTTAACTTTTTTTTTTTCCAAATCTTTTTTTTTGTAATCAGTGGTTAGAAAGCCATTCTTAGTCTATGTTTACACTGTGCGACGATCTCGCGTGACAGGCCGGTATTTCACGTGGCTTTGCTGGCGAGTTGTCTTCCATGCGCTATAAACGTATCAGTGGCATCAGCGGTGCGTGATGGGTTGCATCAAACCTTACTCATTTCATATCGGAATTTTCAGTTTAAATTTATATTTTTGAAAAATCTGGCATAAAAGGTTGTAGGGTCGGGTGTAAAACTTAGGTAAGGGTCGGGAAACCGGAAAACACAGGTATGTTGTTTTTTTGGCCTTAACAATACTGCATAGCCTACATTTTATGATAGATTGACTCATGTGTAGTAGTTCCAGACGCTATGTGAATAGCATGCACGGCAAGGTCTTTTTCAGCTCAGAAATTTTGTTTACCGGAGAAATTATAAATATATGCTGATGCTTCCTTTGACTTTATTGCCATGCAGAAAAGTTTGTTATGCCCAAATTGAACCTCAGAGTTTGTTCAGTAGCTTGAAATGCTTCGATGCGTTTATATTTTACTAGTTTCAAACTTGACCTAGTGTCACACGAATTTTCTATTGGTAAAATTTGTAAAATTTTTAGTTGCCATTTTTCTTCATTATAAGTCGGAAGTAACGCGGGACTAAACGTATCGGTCATCAAATTCTTACTGATAGATTGTTTCTCAACTATGTTAAATCCCAATCCTGGACGATTATGATATTAGGTGTTCCTGACATTAATTTGCTTGCTAACTTGCGGCTATGTATGCGTACGAGTGTATTTTCCATCGAACAATATAGCTAAAATAAGAAGATTAAATGCAGCATATTAACATAAAAACTGTGACAGCTTACTTATATTGTGCTGAAAGTGGAAAATATTTTTTTTTCATCTTTTTCTATTTACGGTCGGCCATTATCCACTTTAAGCGACAATTAGTAAGTCTGTATATTTACATTCGCCGCCTATAATTATATGACAATCATAATAGGCAGTGGGTTGTCTTGCATGGAAGCCGCTACACGCTCGAAGTGGGAGAGGAAAATCTGCCGCCGATTTCTCTCACTTCTCTCTACGAATACATTTGGCGGGACCTGACACTGACCCATGTAAAAGGTAACGGATGAATGCTTCCGAGCGATTACCGTTACACCGATTACATTCCACATCTGAATGTGAAAAACCTTCACCGCATGATATTATGAGTATAAATATTAAGCATATATAACCGATGTACTATGCACAGTATAATGATTATGACATCGGTAGTATTTGCACAGGCGGTACCTTCATAGATTCAGAAGTGGTCTAATCAATGTATCGCTCAGTGGGAAGGAGCTGCTCACTAGGACTGAGATGGAGAGCAATTCAACGCATAACGCACAAGGCGTAATTGTTACATGTCCATAAAGTGTGATCATACCTTGAGGAAGGTGACACCATACTGCAAATGTTGATCTCTAAAAGCCGTTTCTTTTGCGTTGGCGCTCATATGTTTTATTGTTTGAAAATGGGAAAATTTATACTTGTAGCCTGGTATATTGTCATGTTATGAAATTGTACTTTCCCAGACCATATGAATTATTAGTTGTACAATCGTGGAGAAAAATTAACATCAGCCCGCATTTAGGATGTTGTATTGTTGTATGTTGCACTTATTTTCGCAGTGGCCTTCAATTGTATGTTTAATTCTATTTGCTTATATGTTAATTGGGAGCGTGATTTTTTGAGTAATGTCAATAAAGAGCGTAAGAAGTAAATGCGTTTATTACACACACGAAAGTGTAGCAATGGTTTAGTAAACTTTTAGCGACATGCTTCGCATCCATGAGTAAGCGCTTTACTTCTTCTTCCAGCGAACAATAAAGTGAGCGGAAGTATTTGTGATGGCCTTACGAAAAAGAATTTGCCATAGACTTTGGATTGCTAGTATTCCATGGATAAACAAAACGTCTCTGCATTATTCAATAGACAGTGTTTGCCTAGACGTTTTATCACTGACCTGAAAGGCATATGTTGCATGCTATTGTGCTGCCCTGGACAACACCGACCTGCTAAATAGGTAGTAGCCAGCAATTGGCGGAATTTGTTTTAACTCTTTGGTTTTTTTCTGTTGCGGGGGGACAGATAGTTTTTGACGTGTTTCTAAAGGCTGGGACAAGCCTACTGCTTGAGGAACGTGGCTCGCCAAGCTTGGTTTCAAAACGATTCACTTTAGTCGAGAGACAAAACCATTCAGTAAATGTGCAATTTTCTGAAGCAGTTCTACTGTCGCTAGTAGAAGATAAATAAAAAATCTTCGTTCATAGTGTTTGTTAATGTTGCCTCGTAGCATGCATTGGTAGTAGTCCACGCATTTGTGAAAAAAATGGGGTCAAACTCGGACAATTGCCAAACAGAAAGTCTGTCAGCTGTTTTATACCAGAAAGTATGTCCTCTATACTATCAAAACTCTTAGGAATCCTGGTTGGTCGGAAGGTTCCAATGGCGGCCATTTTTCACAAATGGCGCCATACAACTTGATATTTCCTCTAATACCTACCGCTTCTAAATAACATAGATGCCTTGATTTTAAGTGCTACAACATACATCTTTCAGGGACAAGGACTCACAGATGACACACATTTCAATAAGCTACCTGTACCAAAAAGCCGAAATGGGCAGCAACCACCATTGTCTGATGGCTGCCTGTCACACAACGTGCGATCTATTCACACTGAAGCTTCGTGTGTTGAGTATGCTCGTCGCCTGGTGTTACGACCCATTCATCACTTTCGACCAACACTTACTAGTGGAAACCTCATTGATCATGCGAGACTGAGCCCAACCAGGAGAGTGTCGTTGAATGCATAGTCTTGCACCTGGGGCGGCTTTCACACGCAGAAATGGGTTTTTGGTAAGATCGGGCACCTCATGGCTGGTCAGGACTGACCAGGTAAATTTCTTGTAGCTGAATCATATTGCGACACGCGGTGGGTAATATGATGACCAAGGCAAGGCTATTGCAAAGCAGTACCGACGCGACATCTCCTTGTTGATGCCCCAGCACTGAATGCCTTGAATATTGGCTCAGACATACTTGCATGTAGCTACTCTCTCAACCATCCTGCAGAGCACATTTTGAAGAGTGAGTAGAGACCATGTAGGCAACAGAATCACCAAGTATGATGAGCCTACGACAGACGCGACTGGAACACTGATCTTGATGAACTGCTGTCCTCTCAAGAACGCTGATACGAGGTTCCTCGTGTCTGCCAGAGGAGTTCATGCCTAGATGAGTGTGTTAAACAGGCACTAAGGAAGCTTCTCAAGGGCCAAACCGAATTCTTGAAGTCCTCGTAGTCGCTACACATTTTGGTTACAGTACTAGGAGAATGGTGAGCATACTCGGAAGTTTGTTAGTAGCAGAGCGCATGGCCAATGGGCGTTGCACCTTGAAGCGTCACCCGTGTGTCAGATAATGTGCCCTACCTAACAGTGCCTCTGGGCCACAACCTCTACACAATCTAGGCCCGCCGCTATGTGCAAGCGCGAATGAGCAAGTCAAGGATGATTTCATCGCAGATGTGTACAACTGCTTTCGAAAATAGAGGTTCCATCGTTGTCAGAAGAAGTGATCGGCCTACTGGCTGGGCTGTCCGTAGACTTCGCCATGTAGAACAGGTCTGCATGAGGAAGGTATGAAGAACCAGCAGCTGGCCTGGGACCGAGAGGGCGCAGGCCAGGACAGAGCAACAGGTGCTTCTCATATGGCTGGCTCTCCCATGCTGGCCTTGTGCTGAAGTCACAATTGTCTAATGCCAGCAGCGCTCACAGGCTATTGTCAACTACACACTGTCCAGCTCTGGGCTGAACAAAACAAACCAGACATTGAAATATGCTAGTACAAGCACGCTGACGATGAATGACAAATGCAGGTTAATCAGCTATCTGCCAAAGAGAACACCCTTCAGCCCCTACAGGCATCCCAGCGTTGCCGCAGCAAATCTCGACAAGGGTGATCGCAGCCAGCACAGTCATATGTTGGACTCAGCCCGAAAACTGTTGCTGAGACAGTATCCTGACCAAACATTGGATGAACAAACTGCTGCCTGACTACAACATTTCAAGAGGGGAAGGGAATCAAGGGTCCATTACCTTTGGCTGCCTAATTTGGCAGTAATGAATTGGATGCGTGAGCCAGTACAGGTGGCATACACAAGCTGCTTTATCGCGACTGACATTGCCATGTGTAGGCAGCATCTAGCAGCTTGATGGAAACACGTCGCAACTCATCAAGCTTTAGTGATGCAACGAATCTGTCTGCAATGACAACATACACATCTGTTAACATCAGGCAGTTAGGGTTAGGGTTAGGGTTAGATTTACGAGGGATTATAGGGATATATACAAACTAGGTATATCTGCGGCGACACAACATGCGCATTTTAGTGGTTTTGAATGTTTGTTCATTCATATTATTATCATTATATCATTATATTATCATCGTATGATTATATCATTTATAGTATTATTCGTTTGTATTATAGTTATTTAAAAAATCGAGGCATATCAGGTCCGTAGCAAGCATCCCAGGAAGGTCGGGTGTTTTTTTATTAGAAGGTGGTCCTGTCTAGTTTTGGACATGTTTAGATTTCGGATAACTGGCAAGAAAAAGCAGACAACAGGTTGTTAGGACAGAAATATTCATTTCACCACTCTGACATCCCCCGGCTACGGGCCTGCATTTCATAATAATAATTATTATAGGTACCTAACATGGCTAGCAGGGTGTCGACATGCAGCAGGGGTGTGTTGCAGCAAATGCGATAGTCCAGTGTCTTCAAAACTCTCAGCTCAGAGTTCAGGATTCCTGCTAAACTGTAGTCATGCCCGACATCCTTGAGGAGTGTCCTTATTTTACGTGGCGTTAGGATCTACAATAGAAGTTATATAGTGAGCAATTATTCATTTAGAAAACAGTAAAAAACCGGGCTCGGAGAAATTCTATCAACTATTTACATTTTTCCACATCATAATTCCGAAGCCTAGTTAAGGCATTGTCATCCTCTAGAATTTCCATTCTTACAACCTTTATCATAATTACCATCACAATCTTTTATCGAACAAGAAATGTCATTTAATTGGCATGCAGTACGTTGATAAGTACTATGAATAAAAAAAAGAGCTCCATGCATATAACTATTTAAGTTTGTTATCATGTTTAACTTACGTTATAGTGTGAAGACATCTTGCTCGCAAGCTGCAAGCATGAGAGCGCACGTAGGGGAACTTGATGTCTCAATTTATCAAGAATTTCTTCCCAGTCTTTACGTTTGCAACTGCTATCTCTTACCTTAACATTGCTGTACAGCTGCTTAACATGTTCATACATAAACCTGCAGGACAGCAAAGGACACTGAGAGTCAAAGCTATTACTGGATGTAGATGCAAGCTATTGTGATGAAGCTGACCTCATCATATTAAGGGGGACCCATGCTCATTATATTCTAAGCACAAAACCTTTGCCTCACCTCTGAGCACTCTTGCTTTAATCACTGCATATTACTCAGGTCGAGTGAAAGAAATATGAATAATGTGTTTTGTTAAATGACATGTACAATGTTCAGCAAAGAGTAACTGCATAGAGATCCAATCTGAATCAAAACCCATATTGGCAAAGGAATGATATTGAATGCTACAACAATTAGCTAGGCCACCTCAACTCTTAAATTGAACAAGATGAATTACCAACAGAATAAGTGCATGGCATGGTACCTCACATCAGCCGTCATTTTCAGATTTT